ATTACATTCATTTGATTTTGAAATGTTAAAGCAGCCTTTTGTTGCTGAGATAGACCAACGTGGTCATTGTGTAGTATCCTTTTCATATGTTGATGAATCTAGTTTGTTAATATTTTGTTTAAGATTTTATGGCTATATTCCCAAGTGAGACTGATCTGTAATTTCTTGGGGTGGCTCAGTCCCTTAAGCGTCTGCCTTCGACTCAGGTCATGATCCTAGGGTTTTGGGATCAAGCCCCACTCAGGCTCTCTGCTCAGCGGGGAGTCTGCTTCTCCCGCTCCCTCTGCCTGCTGTGCCCCCTGCTTGTGTACATGCGTGCTCTCTCTCTCTCTGTGTCAAATAAATAAATAAAATCTTAAAAAAAAAAACCAAAACTAGAATTCTTTCGATATCTTACAGAACTTATCAGTGTTTCTTTTGTGGGAAGATTTTTGACTATAGATTAAATTATTTTAATTTTTAAACTATTTAAGTTTTCTATTTCATCTTTGTCTAAAATTCAGTGTTATTGGCATAAAGTTGGTCATAACGTTCCTGTAACACCTTTTATTTTTTTATATTTTTATTTAAATTTTACTTAGCTAATATACATTGCAGTATTGGTTTCTGGAGTAGAATTCAGTGATTGATCACTTACATACAAAACCCGGTGCTCATCACAACAAGTGCCCTCCTTTTAACTTCACCCATTTAGCCCACCCGCCCCCACCTCTCTCCCGTCAACCTTCATTTTGTTCTCTATCATTAATAGTGTCTTATGGTTCCTCTGTCCTCTCTCCTTTCCCCCCACCCTTCCCAATATGTTCATCTGTTTTCTTTCTTAAATTCCACATATGAATGAAATCATATGGTATTTGTATTCCCCTAACTTATTTCGCTTAGCCTAATACACTTTAGCTCTATCCACGTTGTTGCAAATGGCAAGATTTCATTCTTTTTTGATGGCTGAGTAATATTCCATTGTGTGTGTGTGTGTGTGTGTGTGTACCACATCTTTATCTATTTTCATCAGTTGATGAACATTTGGGCTCTCTCTATAGTTTGTCTATTATTGATAATGCTGCTATAAACATCGGGGTGCATGTACCCCTTTGAATCTGTATTTTTGTATCCTTTGGGTAAATACCTAGTAGTGTAATTGCTGGGTCATAGGGTAGTTCTATTTTTAACTTTTTGAGGAACCTCCAAATTGTTCTCCAGAGTGGCTGCACCAGCTTGCATTCCCACCAACAGTGCAAGAAAGTTCCCCTTTCTCTGCATCCTCGCCAACACCTGCTGTTTCTTGTGTTGTTAATTTTAGCCATTCTAACAGGCTTGAGGTAGTATCTCATCATAGTTTTGATTTGCATTTCCCTGATGATGAGTGATGTTGAGCATCCTTTCATGTGTCTGTTAGCCATCTGGATGTCTTCTTTGGAAAAGTGTCTATTCATGTTGTCTGCCCATTTCTTTTTTTTTTTTTTAAGATTTTTTATTTATTTGACAGAGAGAGATAGTGAGAACAGGAACACAAGCAGGGGGAGTGGCAGGCAGAGGGAGAAGCAGAGGCCACGCTGAGCAGGGAGCCCGACATGGGGCTCGATCCCAGAACCCTGGGATCATGACCTGAACCGAAGGCAGATGCTTAACAACTGAGCCACCCAGGGCCCCCTGTCTGCCCATTTCTTCATAGGATTATTTGTTTTTGGGTGTTGAGTTTGGTAAATTCTTTAGAGATTTTGGATACTAACCCTTTATCTGATACGTCATTTGCAAATATCTTCTCCCATTTTGTAGGCTGCCTTTTAGTTTGTTGATTGTTTCCCCTATAACACCTTTTAAATATATACAAGACCTAGAATGATGTTCCCGTCTTCATTCCTGATGTTGTTTTGTGCCTTCTCCTTTTTTTTTTTCTCGCTCAAGCTTGCGAGGGGCTTATCAATTCTTTCAGTCTTTTTGAAGAACCAACTCTCACCTTTTATTAATCCTGTTGAACGTTTTGTTTCATTACTTTCTGTCTTTATCTTATTTCCTTTCTTCTACTTTGTTTTTGCTATATCCGCTCCCCCCCACCCCATTCTCTTGAGTTGGTTGCTTAGCATTTTAAAACTAGAAGCTTCCCAGAATCTGTGAAGATCAGTGATGATCATCAGCATTGAGAGATTGCTGCCTTAAGTCCCTCTTGACAGTTGTGCTGGGACTGCTGGGACTCTTTAGCACCAGCATGCCACTAGCCTCTTCCTGCAACCCAGCTGTTCTTTACATATGGTTGTGCCTATGGGTGGGTGCCTTGCTTAATGCAGGTGTGCAGTTGGGGCCCAGATACAGAAGAAAGAACAGAGGCCACTGCCTGTTGCACGGGATGGTGGGATGCTAGTGTGCATCTCAGCCTGTCTCTGGGTGTTCTCTAGACCATACGTGCTGTCAGGGGAGCCCCTGGCGAGCTGCCCCCTTCAGAGTTTCTCTTGTTACATCCTTACAAATTTTTAAAAAGATTTTATTTATTTATTAGTGAGAGAGAGAGAGCATGAGAGCGGGTTGAGGGCAGAGGGAGAAGCAGACTCTTACCTAGGCAAGCCTCGTTATTCCACGTGGTCTTGGTAATATTCCTTCCCATCTCCTCTCAGTCCGGAATCCACCAGCTATTCCCTTTGCCTCCTATGGCAGAGTTATTTATCTTTTGAGCTTCTGAGGAAATTCATCTGTAAAATGGGGTAGCAGTAGTACCGACTTTATTGACTTCTTAGGTGCTCGTATGAAGCAATGTACATGCAGCGCTCACCAGAGTGCCTGCTGGGAGGGAGCACACAGCATTGGCAGCAGATTCTGCTCTATTTGAGCACCCCTGTTCATCTAACTTCTTCTTTTTTTTTTTTTCCAAAGATTTTATTTATTTGACAGACAGAGACACAGCGAGAGAGGGAACACAAGCAGGGGGAGTGGGAGAGGGAGAAGCAGGCTTCCCGCCGAGCAGGGAGCCCGATGCGGGGCTCCATCCCAGGACCCTGGGATCATGACCTGAGCTGAAGGCAGACGCCTAACGACTGAGCCACCCAGGCGCCCCTCATCAAACTCATTCTTTTCATCCTGTAGACATGCCTGAGTTTCTCTTGTCCTCAAAATACACTCACATTCCTCCACTCACTGTTTTTACTCCAGCAACTAGCTTCTCATTCCTTTCACAGGCAAGCACATTCAAAGTGCCGTGTCACAATGTGGACTAGCAGAAGCCAGACACAAAAGGCAATGTGCGATTCCATTTACATGAAGTTAAGGAACAACCTTCCTTTCCTTAACAGAAGTTAAGGAAAACTGCAAGGACAGAAGTCAGACACAATTACCTAATAGGTGAAGTAGTGGTGGTTTTGACTGAGAAACACTCTGTAGGCTGGAGGCCAGAAAGATTTTCTGTTTTGATCGAGGGGGTGGTCATACAGCTACATACATGTATAAAAGTTCATTAGGCTGCAGCCTTGAAAAATGAGCACATCTATCTAAGCAAAAAGAGCTCGGGCACCACCCTTCACCACCTGTCCCTTTTGTGGCTCATTGCTATACCACCCTCGTCTTGGTCACCAAATGTTTCCACACATTTGAATCATTATTACTCTTGACCTCCCGACAGAACTGAACACAGGTAATCACATCTTCCTTTATGAAACTCCCTTCTTGGGGCTAGAAACCACTCTTCCTCCTGGTGACCCTGCGTCTGGCACCCCCTTAGTTTCCTTCAGCAACTCGTGTCAGGGAGCTCTTTGTGTAATTCTAGAATTTCATGCTGATTTGGCTCTGCTGGGTACAGGGGACTCACCCCACACAGCAGCGCAGAAACCCGCAGACACCTCTTTATAACGCTGTGGCTTGTACTCACATGGAGCAGTGATTATTACATAGTGAACTGGGACTAGACTGACTCAGGAATGGCAGCCCCAGTTGTAAGGTGGACATTTGGAGTTCTGTGCAGTAGTTGAAGGACAGTGAAGTCTTAACGCAAATTCAGAAGTGTAGATTCTTCTGAAGACATAAGACCCACGTGGAATGAGGACACATGATTAGTATTGAATTACCCAGTGTAGATGGTCGTTGCTCCGGATGTTAAGAGAAAGGTGTCAGAGCCTGAAATGGGCCTGTGAAATCCTCTTCTCCCAGCCTTCGCTCAGATTTCACCCTCTGATGAGAGTCTGCTGTATACTGTGGCCATACAGCAGAGTTTCTCCTCCCCCGGCACTCCAGATCCCACATTGCCTGCTCTGCTTTCTTCCCTTAGTACTTAATTGCCTTCCAACACAACAGTATCATTTGCTGATTCACTATGTTGATTGTTTACAGTTTGTTTGCCCTATCAGACTATAATTCCCACAAGGGTAGGGATATTTGTTTTGTCCACAGATACATCTCACATACCTAAAACAGTGTCTTGGCACATAGTAAATACTTAATTACTTGTTGAAATACCTGAATGACTGGTTCAGCCAAGTGGTTTAAAATCCAAGCAAGTGAAAGAAAAGCCTGAGGCTCATAAGGGTGACATCAACCCATATCAAAGTACCTCCTTCACCAAGGCAGGGCTTTCTCCAGATCCACCCTGTCCTCTGGAGGGCTGCATTTGGTGGTCCAGATTATCCCTGGGCCCGAGGCCCAGGGGTAGCCAGGAGTCACCTTAATATTGTCTGTAGTAGTTTTGTCTATTGGTCCCCCCTGCCCCATCCTCCCTCCCCCAGTCACAGGTTTCAATAGCAGACTAACCTGAGCAATAGTGATGCTGTGTGCAGCCTGGGCATACTCATGAGGAGAAATATGAATATTCCATGTTGGGAAGTGAGAGATGTGTGTCAGTCATAGTTAGACTGACATTCCCAGTGACCAGGATCCTCTCGTTTTGTACTGAATTTGTTAGCCACTGGTTAATTTGTAGAGTTGGAAAATAAATACAAATCAGGGCAATGAGAAAATTATCTATTTCTGTGTCCCTCGCCAATACATATGTATAGCTCTGACAACGTTCTCTCCCTCTCTAGGGTGAAAAGGCTGATAGCTTCTACATTATAGAGTCCGGAGAGGTGAGCATCCTGATCAGAAGCAAGGTGAGTCCGTGTGTGATGGTGCGATTTATGCCAGGTGCATGCACAGAAAGTCGCTGCTTGCTTTAAATAATGTGAAGGGTGTCTGGTGTAACAAAACCATCATTGTTCTATGAGGTATGTGACTGGCAAAGACCCATGTTTAAGTACCTCCAGTGGTAGGGATTTAGTATATTTCTCTTTGTTCCTATTGCCTTTGCCTCTGTGACATAATTAATGATATGAGAAATACTGGCCTATAAATCAATAAGAAAAAGATAAACCCCCTAGTAGAAAGTGGGGGAATTACATGATAAAGGCATACATGTGGGTGTTGAATATGAAAAAAGCTTCCTTTCTAGAGCACTGGGGGCAGGTCTTTAGGACCAGCATTACTATGCCATTTCGTGGATAGGGAGGCCTAGAAAACTGATGGCCAATGAGTGGGAGGAGTGATTCTCATCATAAATCCATTGTCACCAGATTTCCCTATTCCAATTTTTTTTAAGAATGTAGAATTTGTTAAAATAGTTAAATATAATTCTAACCTAATATGAAACCTTTTACAGACTATCTTTAGTAAAAGTTAAATATGGAGAAAGAAAAACATGATTACTGCCTCTATTAAAAATAGATCTGCTGTTTCACATGAAACAATAGGTTGAAACATCTATGTTCTTTTACTTACTGTTTTTGGACTAGTGATATATGTTTGTACATTTCTCAAATACTCATTGACACTTGTTGATCACAGCATAATGTTGGGTATGTGGGACCAGCAGCACTGTGGCTCTAGGGGTGGGGGGAGCTTGTCAGGAATGCAGAGTCTTGGACTCTGCCCCAGACCTACTGAATCAGAATCTGCATTGTAACAAATCCCCTGGGGGCTGGCGTTCATATGACAGTGTGTTAACTGCTACTCTAAAGAAGGGACTACTTGGGCACAAACACGTCTGCAGCCCCAGAGGATGCTACAGAAACTGGAAGGAGAGTGCTGGCTCTGGTGGAGCAGATCAGCTTCAGAGGGAACAGGTTGGGGCGGAAGTGTGGAAGGAGGCTTACCTGCCTCTAACCTAAAGTGGCTCTTAGAGATTGAGACTAATTCTTACTAATAAATTCTAAATAATTTTTTACTGAAATTATTGCTTAGCTTAGCAGATGGATTTGTAAAAAAAAAAAAGGAAACTCTAGATATTAAATATAATATACTACATTATTTTCCATAATTTGATAAGCACTAATTAAAACCTGCTTGATTTCTTTTTTTTTTTCTTTTAAGATTTTATTTATTTGAGAGAGAGAGAGAGAGCACAAGCGGAGGGGAGGGGCAGAGGGAGAGGGAGAAGCAGACTCCCCACTGAGCAGGGAACCCGATGCAGGGCTCCTTACCAGGACCCTGGGATCACGACCTGAGCTGAAGGCAGACGCATAACTGGCTGAGCCACCCAGGCTCCCCCCTGCTTGATTTCTTAATACAGAGTTAAAGCACTAAATATCCAGGTTGAACATTATTAAAAAAGTTTTTTTAGTCACTTAGCTCTTCTAAAAAAAAAAATGTGTGTAGTGGGGGGTGGGGAACCACTAACTTACAGAGCAGGCAGTACCTAAAAAGAAAACTTGTCACTGTAAAGTATTGTCCAAGAAAGGCATGGTCCCAAATAAAAAAGAAGTGACCCGGGATTGTGACTTTATCTAAGAGAAACATTAACATCATTTAGCAGGAATTAATAAAAGACCTTATCTTTTCTCTTGTACCTCAGAAGTCAGCATCTACCAAAAGGACAGCATTCATATATATATATATATATATATATATATATATATATATATATATATGTAAATGTATAATATATAAAAAAAATATGTGTTTTATGTTAATATATAATTGACACTATAATATGATCATATATATTGACATAATATATATAATGTATGTTATAATAATTATGTATATTTTTTTCCTTTGGAAGATACATATGTCTTCCAAAGAAAATGGTCTGCTCCCTACCTCTTGATACTTAGCCATTACCTGAAAGGTGTTGGGCCTTGGATGAAGGCCCAGGTAAAAGCCAGCTCCTCTAATTAAACCAGACCACTGAGGGCGCCTGGGTGGCTCAGTCATTAAGCGCCTGCCTTCTGCTCAGGTCACGGTCCCAGGGTCCTGGGATCGAGCCCCGCATCGGGCTCCCTGCTCTGCAAGAAGCCTCCTTCTCCCTCTCCCACTCCCCCTGCTTGTGTTCCCTCTCTCGCTGTGTCTCTCTCTGTCAAATAAATAAATAAAATCTTAAAAAATAAAAATAAAAGAAACCAACCCAGACCGCTGAGATGAACTAGCCCATGCAGTTGACATGGTACAGTTAGTGTCTCTGCAAAGTGAATTTCTCAATAATTGCGTTTTAAGTGTCCCAAGAAGGGAATGCAAGTGTGTGTAAGTGGATGTGCTCAGCTGCGTTCCGGAACCAGCCTAGTCATGTTTTCCACCCGCTCTAGACCAAAGCGAACAAGGACGGCGGGAACCAGGAGGTCGAGATAGCCCGTTGTCGTAAGGGGCAGTACTTCGGAGAGCTGGCACTGGTCACCAACAAGCCCAGAGCTGCTTCAGCATATGCAGTGGGGGATGTCACATGCTTAGGTAAGAAAAATAGATTCTTTATGCACTAATGCTTTTTTTTCTAACACGCAGTATTTTTTTTTTTTGCCCCATCAGTAAGCCTTGACTCATTTCACCAGTTCTCACACACATCTAGGCTTGAACAGTCTGTGGGACCAACTAGAAATGGGTGACTGTACCCTTTGAGCAGACATTTCTGAGCACTGAGTGAGGATAGCCTGTGAGAAGAGCAGTCACGGAGGCAGGTGTCCAAGGCTCTGCTGGGACCCAGTGAGTAGGTGCTGCTGGGCTCTGCAAAGTCGCCAACAGATGACACAGTCCGGCTGGGCTCACATAGAAACATCCGTCCTTTTTCCAAGCACCCAGCATCCCCCAGTCTGATTCCCTGAGGTGAATGGGTATATGTGAGAGAAGGTTTGCATGAGGGAAATGACTTTGAATTATTGGTGTAGAGAATTCATTCTCTCGCGTGCCTCTTTCTAACAATGCAGTTATGGACGTACAGGCGTTTGAGAGGCTTCTGGGGCCCTGCATGGACATCATGAAGAGGAACATCTCACACTACGAGGAACAGCTGGTGAAGATGTTTGGCTCCAGCATGGATCTGATTGACCCCGGGCAGTAGGTGTGCCCCAGCCCAGAGCCTTCTCAGTGTGACACCGAAACCTTCTGGTCAGCCACAGAACACACGCAGAAGACAGACACGACAGACCCGTTCCTGCTCTCACCACCGCCGCCAGCTGCTATTGCCGTGGCCGTGGACATGTAGGACACTTGAAAGTCAGCACTACAGGATGGGCAGAGGTTCCGCCCACACCTCCTCCACTTTGCTTCTGAAAGCCCATTATTAGACCACTCGTAATGATTATTCCAGCCCAGTTGTCACATCTTTGGTTCATAATGGCATGTCTCTCCAGCAGTTTAAGTGCCTGATACAAAGTCCACAGCGTAATCATCTTCCTTTCCTCTCTGGCTGCTACTGTTGCTGTTGGAAGTCACCACAGGTCTGCACAGAGCTGTGTTCAACTGTAGACACCCGCCCCTGACCTTCCTCAAGGGAGGCATTGTCGTAGCCCTTGATCTTCTCGTTTGTCCTTTGAGAAAGTCCGCATTTGTTCACACTGGTAGCCTTCGGTTTTACAGTAGAAGATGCGGCAGGGAGGCTGGAGGTCTGCGGGCCTGGGGCATCCATGACAGCTATCTCCAAACTCACAGCGATGCTGGGGGGAAGGCCCTGCCCCGGGCCCAGCAGCTCAGCACCCCAGAGTACACTGATTGGTTATGAAGACCCGTGTTAGAGCAGAGAATTTGGGTTCAGCACGTTCTTCAGGTAGCGGAGAGCCAGGGAAGGTTTTCTGGGTTGGGGGTTTTGTTTTGTTTTGTTTTGTTTTAGTAGATTTTGTTTTGTTTTATTTAATCTCTGTGCGGTTTGCATGAATGAATTACTGTCCGTTTCTAAGGAGCCAGGGTCTGGATGTGCCATGACTTTATCTGACCCAAATACTTCCCTGGGCAACTCCTGCCATCTTGTTTCCAGTTACCCCTACCCGCTGATAATGGCAGTGTGCCAGCAAGAGGTTGTACTACAAAGAGAGCCCTTTCCTTCTCCAGTGTTGTTACATAGCTTTGCTGTTGAACTATCAATTTTTAAATTCTTTAAAGAAGAAGCAGCTATTTTTTTGAAATTAAAAATTTTTTATTTCTGCATTTGGGGAATTCCCGTTGACCTGGTCATATATATCAGTGTGTCAGCTGACTCAGGCATTCATCCTGAAGATCAACTCTTTGTTTTTAAAAATCAGAATCAGGGCGCCTGGGTGGCTCAGATGGTTAAGCGTCTGCCTTCGGCTCAGGTCATGATCCCAGGGTCCTGGGATCGAGTCCCGCATCGGGCTCTCTGCTCCTTGGGAGCCTGCTTCTCCCTCTGCCTCTCTCTCTCTGTCTCTCATGAATAAATAAATAAAAATCTTTAAAAAAAAAATCAATCATTCACTATTTCATGGAATTACTGCAAAGACCTTTCTAGTTAAGGTGTTGGGATATTTGGGGTTCCAATTATTAACCCCAGAGGAAAGTAAATTAGCTTGTATTTTAAAACTTTTTAACCTTTTAATTATATCAAGTAGAATTGTGATGAATTATCCTAATTAACTAGATATAGTTCAGGATAAATTTTTTTTTTTTTTTTGAGAATGACTTAGAATCAGATGCTACAAGAGATCCTAAGAGCAGTGTGAAGTTTGCATAGAGATAAATTTGAATATTGTAGCCAAGCTTATATTAAATCAAGAGGCCCTTTCCAATATGATTTACTTTTTAAACTTGTGTAACTCAATAAATCCCTAAGAGATTGCATGCTGAGGCTTGAGTCATTCCTGTTGTAGGATAATGATGGAGCCCACATGGTCACTTCTATTGTCCATAGAAGCCGGGCTCTCTGCTTTTGCCATGGACAGTGTGGTGGAGGGATTTCTAGAGTGGTGACCCACCACAACCTTGGTCAAGTCTCCCTTTTTCTTGTGTTCCGTGAAGTAAAAGCAGAAGGACTCTTTTCAGACAGCCCTAGCTAGGTAGCCTGCATTGCAGCTCTCAGAATCATGAAAGGTTGTAACTAATACTCCCAAACAGGCAGCTAGCTATGGGAAAGCCCATGTGGTTTTTTTCCCACAATTTTCCAAGGTTCTTTTCTAGGGTGTTGCTTTATTATCAAATAAATTACGAAAGAAGATCTTGTACTTTAGCAGACAAGAATCACACCTGTTTCTTCCAAAAGGAGCAGGCACAGACAGTGAGCTTTAGGAGTGTCACAGAGCTCTAGCCCCCTCTATTCGAGGACTCTGTTTAAACACTGAGCAGATGCCCCCTTTGCACCCCCGTGCCAGCATTAGTCAGGGCTGGCTGGGAGCTCAGTGCCAGAGTCACTCCTGCAGGCTGCTAGGCATGGGCTTCTCATCCTGCCTTCTTGCACATCCCAGTTCAGTCTTCCCCCTTCACAGAAGCCTCTTTGGTACCCCCAACTCACTGATGGTTGCTGTTTTACAGAGTAGAATTCATCCAGGTTTGAGTCCTCCTGCTCTAACTACAGACTGACATATGGGTCATGAGTATAGATCCTCACTGCATACAGGGCCCCTTGGGGGTCTGGCTTAGGAAGGAAGACTTTCACTCACCAGTGTGAGTGCAATAGTACCAGGAGTCTGACAGGGTTCCAGTTCTCTTGGCAGCCTGGGGGATCAGAGGTGGCAGACTGAGCTCAACTGAGGGCTCAGGTGTCCACAGTATGCCAGGCAAGCCCTGCACTGTTGGTTGAGCCTCAAGGAGAGGAGTGTATTGGGAAGAGATCCCTTTTATATTCTTCTCTTCCATGGGTTAGAGCTTCACGTCCTCTTTCCTGGCTTTGCTATTGATTTGGGATGATGGAAAATATTCCTGAGAGCCTTGAGGCCCAACCTACAGTATTATCCTTTCTTCTAGCCCCAGTTTATCACACCCACCCTCTTGTTTTGGTTGTAGTCTCTGAAGGAAGGCTTCACGTGTGCTGTCCTCTTAGTTGATCGTTTTACATATAATTGCTGTAGATTCTCAGGAGTCAGGGTGCATCTTTTCTTTGAGCAGTTTAATGAGTGAATTCAGCAGCAAAGTGGCAAGAAATGGTTCTCCGACCAGGAGAGGTCATGTTCATCCTCTTAATGCCCAGATTCTCTGCTCGCAGTGGTAGTCAGTGAGAGGTGCCCCTGGGGCCCAGCGGTACCCTGGGCATACAGCATTTCCACGTCAAGTCGCTGTGCAGAAACCGTCTTCTCTCATTTAGAAAGAGTGAAAGAGCATTTTTGCACAGCGTAAAAGGAAAAAGACCCATGAATGTCATCTTTTATATTTTGTTTTCGGTTGGCTGATGTTGGAATTTTTGTTCTTGACATACACTTGTAAACCAGTCTTGCCAAGATACAAGTTGTTTTGGTTTTTCACTACAATTACCTCTTGTTCCTCCTGTCTTGACTGCTGACATTCCTCAATGATTCTAATGTCTATTTTATGGGAAGTGGCCTTCCCCTGTGGGTTTCCTTTTACACACTGCAGGGCTATCTTTATACTTAAAAAAAAAAGAGAAAAAAAAAAAGGAGGAAACTGTCACTAACCTCATGGGGTATTTGTAGAAAACCATTTAGCCCACCTTGAGCAAAAGGTAGATTTCCTCATTGTTTTCTTAAGCTCATTGTAAGAAAAGAAATCTAATTCAGCATTATTGTGCTACCTCAAAGGTAAAATGTTTTAAGGTCTTTTTTTGGTCCTGAGTTCTACACATAGTGTTTGAAATGTCTTTCAATTGGAGTTGTTTTTAAATCATTGGGGAGAATCTTATTTTAACCGTTTTACACTTGTATTTTAATGTCAGAAGAATAAGTGATTAGAAAGTGATCAATTATTGCTCTGTAGTATTGAACATATAATTAAATCATTGTTTGCCATAAACAAGGTTGGGTTTTTTAAAAGGAAACTCTAGGGCTCGGCTGTGCTTTTGGTTAATAAAGGCTGACAAATCATGTCTGGCTTTCTGGTGTGGCCCTGTGTTGTTTGTCCTCCCATTTCAGGGTTCCTGGCCATCATAGTACTCCTCCGGCAGATATATTGTTGGGACTGGGATGTGAGCTCTTGAAAATTAGGAGGCCTGGGTATATGTATTAGGGTTCTCCAGTAAGAACCAATAAGGAGTGTGTGTGTGTGTGTGTGTGTGTGTGTGTGTAGAGATTTATTATAAGGAATTGGCTTATGCAATTATGGAGGCAGGCAGGTCTCATCTGCAGGATGAGTTGGCAAACTGTAGACCAAGGAAAGCTGATGATTTCATTCCAGTCTGAGTCTGGAATGGTTCTTATGGTTCTCAACCCTTAAGAGCTGATAGAGTAGTTCCTTGTAGAAGGTTAGCAGGCTGGAAACCCAGGAAGAGCCAATGCCCCAGTTTGGAGGCAGTCAGGCAGGAAAATTCTCTTACTTGAGAAAGAGTCCTTTTGTTATATTTGGGCCTTCAACTGATTAGATGAGGCCCACCCACAATGGGAGAAGGCAATGTGCTTTACTCAGTCTACTGATTTAAATGTTGATCTCATTCCAGAACACCCTTACAGAAACTCCCAGAACAATGGTTGACCAAATATCAGTGCCCCATGGCCCAGTCAAGTTGACACATAAAATTAACTATCATAGGGGCACTCAGTCGGGTAAGCCTCTGACTCTTGATCTCAGCTCAGGTCTTGATCTCAGGGTCATGAGACTGGGCATGGAGTCTACTTAAAAAAAATTTGGGCTTCCTCAACATGGCAGCACCCTTGTCAGTGGAGGTGGAGTTCGGAGGTGGTGTGGAGCTCCTTTTCAACGGCATAAAGAAACATCAGGTCACCTTACCTGGACAGGAGGAGCCCTGGAACATCGGGAACCTCCTTGTCTGGATCAAGAAGAATTTGCTTTAAGAGCGGCCAGAGTTGTTCATCCAGGGAGACAGCGTGTGCCCAGGAATGGGAACTGCTGGGCGAGCTGGACTACCAGCTGCAGGACCAGGACAGCATCCTCTTCATATCCACGCTGCATGGAGGCTGAGGGCCCTGCTCTGGGCCCAGGTTCCCTTGGGGTGGGGAGAAGAGCACAATCAGACATCCCCTGGGGCCCTGCTTCCAGGTCTCCCTGTTCCCTTTGGCCGCTTTCTTCCCTGCTCTGTCCCCCAAGCTCCCTCCAGGCAGGGAAAAGAGGCCAGGTGCTAAAAATGAGCCTTTCTCAGGCACGTGAGTAGGGTTGGGCAGGCTCAGCCCTGCCTCTCGTCCCAGCAGCTGAGGTAGGGGAAGGTGCTCCTCTGGTTTGTCACAACAGGAGGGGGCTCCCTGGCCAGGTGACCCAGCTGCCTTCCACTCCTTGTGTCTCAGTCTAAACACCAAGTGACCACTGACGAGGAACTCCAGCTCCCGGGCTGTAGTGTCTTCGTGGGGAAGATGAATGGACCGGAATAGCTGATAGGAGGCCCCTCCCTTCTCTTAAGATGGGAGGAGTCTCTGCCTCAGTTTCCCCATCTAGACAGCAAAGGGCTCTGGCTGTCCCCCACTGATATCATTATGAAACCCCAGCTGGGGTCCCCTATTCAGTGCTGACTCCCCCCTCCCAGCAGCTGCTCTTCCAACCACACCTCTCCTCCTGCTCCCCCATCCCCAGCCCTTGACCCTGGCTGGCCTTCCCCCCCACAGGCCACCAGATGGGCTCCTAAGACCCTCCCCAGCAAAAGGCTGCCTGCAGCTCATTCTGGAGAGAGAAAGAGGAGCAGGCAGAAGCTTGGACTGGCACATAGAGGCGTGGGGGGTCAGAGTGCCTCAGTTTCTTCCTCAACAGCAGCTGAATGTTTATAAGTATCTGAAAGCAGGCATGATCCTTGATGGCACAAATGTAGACTTTATCTCCCTTTCTACCTCCTGCAGGAAGGAGGATGGGGGCAGGCAACACCTGGTAAGCAGGATGGTTTGCCCCTCCTCCCTTCATCCCTTCTGGAAGTCTTGGGGCCTCAATGCCTGCAACAGCTGGCCTTGGGCAAATAAAAGACGAGGTTGTTTACTAAAAAAAATAAAAATAAAAATAAATTAAAATAAAAAAATTTAGGGGCGCCTGGGTGATTCCGTTGGTTAAGCAGTATGACTCTTGATTTTGGCTCAGTTCATGATCTCAGGGTCATGAGACCGCGTCCCACCCAATATGGAGCCTGCCTAGCATTCTCTCTCTCTCCCTCGCCCTCTGCCCCACCCCCACTCACATGCTCTCTCTCTAAAATAAATTCTTTAAAAACAAAGTAAACTTAAAATTTTCTTATATTTTAAATATTTTTAAAAAATTAACTATGGCAGCATGGTATTTGAGTTGTTGGGGATGCTGTGGAAGGGCATCAAGTATATCCCTTGCCAGGGAAGATAAAGTCACCAATGAAGCCCAGCGGACAACATCTCCTGTCTGACAATATTACTTCTACCATTTCCTTCTCGGTAACATAGCTATAAGGAGAACAAGCAATGATTCCGTGATAACCCAGTACGCCTACAATTTCTTTCCAAGTAACCAAAAGAAGCTGCTCAACAAAATCATGTTCCAGTTTGATTTTACCTTGACCTGGCAGTACAAAAGGGTCAAATAGGGGCTCCTGGGTGGCTCAGTCGTTGGGCGTCTGCCTTCGGCTCAGGTCATGATCCCAGGGTCCTGGGATCAAGCCCCGCATCAGGCTCCCTGCTCGGCGGGAAGCCTGCTTCTCCCTCTCCCACTCCCCCTGCTTGTGTTCCTTCCCCCTCTCGCTGTCTCTCTCTCTGTCAAATAAATAAATAAAATCTTAAAAAAAAAAAAGGGTCAAATAGCGGGTAAACATTCGAGATAGCCCACCGAGCTCAAGAAACCAGTAGCACTGAGCTGTCTCAAAGCCAAACTGGCCTTGTTTCAAGGCTTTAAAAATTAAATATGGCTTGGCTTCTGTGGTTTTAGTGGTGGTATCGCTATGAACAGTTAAGAAGTGCCAGGACAACAATGAGAGCATATTGTCCACAGTCTCAGCCTTGAAGGGTGCACGTGACATGAGGACTTTGCTTTCTTGTATGTTCTGTACTTACCACAGGTACCTGAATATATCCTCAGTGATCTTAGTGCATCCATTTTATAACATCAGAATTAAAACAGTTTATTTCCTGTGATTAAGGAATCTGTGTTTGTTTCACAAGGCCTCATGTTAAGTATGAATTTTGCTTCCTTTACCCATACCCATCCTCTCTGTGGACAAATGCCCCATCACACAAGATGGCACAGATACTGTTACCTGATTATTTGGGGATATGCAGATAAAATGCAGCATGTTGACCAGGAACTTACCGAATAATGACTTGTGAATTTAGATGAGTATTACCCAAGTTCTGAATTAGAATATCAGAAATTAAGTCTAACTCATCTTATTCATTCATTGAGCAAAATTTTTTTAAGGATTTTTATTTATTTGAGAGAGCGAGAGAGCAAGCACGAGTAGGGGGAGGGAGGGGCAGAGGGAGAAGCAGTCTCTCCTCTGAGCAGGGAGCCCAACGCGGGGCTCGATCCTGGGACTACAGAATCATGACCTGAGCCGAAGGCAGACGCTTAACCAACTGAGCCACCCAGGCACCCCTCACTGAACAAATTTTGATGACCTGCTGTGGACATTTCCTGACACTGTTTTTTTGTTTTGTTTTAAAGATTTTATTTATTTGAGATAGGGAGTGAGAAAGAGCAGGAGCAGGGGGGCAGAGGGAGAGGGAGAAGGAGAAGCAGGATCCCCCCTGAGCAGGGAGCCCAACGTGGGGCTCGATCCCAGGACCCTGGGATCATGACCTGAGCCACCCAGGCACCCCATGATACTGTTTAAACCCCAGGAATTATCAAGAACGATACTGAGGTCCACCTGGGCATTCTGGACCTTACTTCCGTTGATGATAGAGCTTATCCTCCATGTTTCTGGACTCACATAGACAGCAGCCCTGGTCTCCTATTTCAAGGATGATCATGCTCCCAATGCCTTATTGTTGCCCTTGGTCATGCTGCCCTTCTCCTTCAGAGCTGCCAGTGCCTCTTCGTAAAGTGAGTGGTTTGGACACACAGCACGCACTGTCCCTCCCTGCCCCAGCCTACATCACACAATTCTGGTTACACAAGCATCTGGGGCACTATAAAGGGAGAAAGACTAGAGTTGAGGTTTGAAGGAGACTCTCTCCAGGTAGGGATGCCTCAGAAATTGTCACCTTCATCCTAGTCATCCTAAACATCATGATGAAACTTGGCCAGAGATGGGTTTTGAGTCTAGGTTACATTTTGTGACATCATGGGCTCAAAAATCAAACTTTTCTCTAAGTTTGTCTCTTCTGTGTGACATTTCTACCCCTTCCTCTTTGACTTTTCCCAACCAAAATTCTTGATCCTGTGAGCACTACTTTCTCTTCTATAAAATCAGTTAACTGGGGGCGCCTGGGTGGCTCAGTTGTTAAGTGTCTGCCTTCAGCTCAGGTCATGATCCCAGGGTCCTGGGATCGAGCCCCGCATCAGGCTCCCTGCTTGGCGGGAAACCTGCTTCTCCCTCTCCCACTCCACCTGCTTGTGTTCCCTCTCTCGCTGTCTCTCTCTCCATCAAATAAATTAATTAATTAATTAATTAAAAAAAAAAACAACCCAGTTAACTGGCTTGTCTTTTTTTTTTTTTTAAGATTTTTTATTATTTATTTATTTGGGACAGAGAGAATGAGATACAAAGAGCATGAGAGGGAGGAGGGTCAGAGGGAGAAGCAGACTCCCTGCCGAGCAGGGAGCCCGATGCGGGACTCGATCCCAGGACTCCAGGATCATGACCTGAGCCGAAGGCAGTCGCTTAACCAACTGAGCCACCCAGGCGCCCTGGCTTGTCTTTTTTTTTTAAAGATATCATTTATGTATTTGTGAGAGAGAGAGCACAAGCTGGGAAGGGGCAGAGAGAGAGGGAGAAGCAGGCTCCTGGCTGAGCAGGAAGCCTGACGTGGAGCTTGATCCCAGGACCCTGGGACCATGACCTGAGCTGAAGGCAGACGCCTAATCGACTGAGCCACCCAGGCACCCCAAATGGCTTGTCTTTAAGTACATAAAGTCAAGCAGTGCCCAGCCCATTTGTAGACTGCAGGGCAGGAGGCTGGCCAGGCTGGAATGTGAAACCAAAGGAGCTACCCCAGTCACTAGGAAAGCCAGCAGGACCTGACCCCACCAATCAGTCCAACCTGACAGGCAGAAGAATGGGCATTGGGCGGTCAGCTCTTGGGGTACACAGTTGAAATAGTACCAGCCAAATCTCCGTGGCCTTCTTGGCCATCGGCCCACCACTTCCTCCCTCTGCAGAACTGCACTGAGCCAAGGGTCACAAGTCACTGTGTATGCTGCTGGAAGCCAGGATCCATCAATCTCCTTCCTGGCCAGGTCCTCCAGCTCCCAGAATGAGGAGGCAGGGGTATACAGTTGGTTTTTTCTTAGTAAACTGGTAAAAAGGAAGAGCTAAAGTCTAGACCCACCAGATAAGCAAAACAGCACTTTCCAGCATAACATCCAAGCATAGTTAAACTGGACATTTTCTTTTTCTTCTTTTCCCCTTATTTATTTATTTTTTAAAAAATTTTATTTACTGGTGAGAGAGCAGAGCAAGAGAGAGAGAGCACAAGCGGGGTAGGGGAGAGGGAGAGGGAGAAGCAGACTCCCCACTGAGCAGAGAGCCCAACTTGGGGCTTGATCCCAGGACCCTGGGATCATGACCTGAGCCGAAGGCAGACCCTTAACTGACTAAGCCACCCAGGTGCCCCCAAACTGGACATTTTCATTCTGAAAAAGAAAGGCCTAGGCATGCAGGGACACCTGCCGCACACTCTCCCATGCCTGTCACAAGCCCAGCCTGGGCAGCTGGAGGATTGGGGGACCTGAAGCTGAGGCTTGGATCTGCAGGGCGGTCAGGGCAGAGGCCTTTGGGGCACAGGTACATCAACTCCCGACAAGTTGGAACAGCACATGAGCCACGTTGGACTCCTGGCGTCCTGTCCTAGAGCCCCATGGCCAGGATGAGAAATGAGGCTGCACACAGGCTCATATGACCCCAGATGAGGGGCAGCGTTGGCGGCTCTGGAAGGCAGACTGCTTTCAAACCAAGACAGAGCTGGGCCACAGAAAGCATGTGACCCCCAGACCCCCACGTCAGGACACTGCCCCTACCTCAGAACTCAAGATGGTTCCACTGGGCTGGCAGCTCTGGGCTGAGGCTGGTGAGATGAGAATGAGTTGGAGACCCTCCAGTACCTTGGCTTGCTCCTCTGTAAAGAAGAGCAAGGAGAGAATCTCAAACTGACTCCCCGCTGAGTGCAGAGCCCTACCCAGGGATTCTCTCATTCTCTGTCTCTCATTCTCTCTCTCTCAAATAAAGAAATAAAATCTTTAAAAAAAAGAAGGAAGCAGGCTTATGGGAGGGCGTCCACTCCGGTGCCCTTGGCTTTGCCCATGTGCGTTGGCCCAGTGGAGTTCCAGTCCAGCCTTTCACCTGCCTGGGCTGGGCCAAGGCCCAACCACGGGAGGAGGCTGGGGTTCCGTGGCTGGTATGGTCTCTCCCCTTATGCTCACTTTAAGCTGGGCATCCCTGGCTCATAGCAAAAGCAGGCCCCACTCTGTGACAGAGAACTGGCCTCACAACTGAAAACCTATGTGAGTTATTCTCAGACCTGGTAAACGGATAAAGCTAGTTTTATGCCCCAGGAGGGCTAGCTTTGCACCTGGGAACTGGTCCAGGGCCAGGTTTACAGAGTGAGGCAAAGGTCCATGGAGTGTGCCAGAGCGGGGCTCACGGAGACCAGGCAGGCTTCCAGCACGATGGGAATTTCTCAGTGTCCTTCTGGGCTCTCCGCGTCCTGGACGCAGTGGGGACAGGGTGTGCGTCCAGAACGATGTGCTGGGAGCCGCCTCCACCCTGGCCCTGTGGGATCCTTTTCTTGGTGATTTTCCTGCCTTTGTTCTGTAACAACAACAAATCAGGAATGACTTGCAACCAGCCCCTCCCCATGTGGCCCACTTTCCAGGGCTGTGGATTCAGGGGAGGGTCTTGGGTGGTGGGGGACCTGGGTCCTGCCCTGTCCTGGTGGGAACATTGTGTTCTGGACTGGGAACTGCCCATCAACCCTTGGGAGCCGTGGGCCCGAGGGGGTGGAGTGGAGCGAGAAAGGCCAGCTTGATTTAAGAAACAGGCAGGGAAGGGGTTTCTGATAAATCAGTAAGCCCAGGACAGCTCTGCCCATGCACGCCCTCCCGAACCTACCCCTGGCCCCGGCCCTGGCAGAGAGGAGCTCTTCCTTCCTCAATCCCAGGCCAGGGCTGTGTGGGAGGATCGAAGGGATCCCCAACGGGGCATCTTCAGCACAGAAAGGCTGCCTCCACCTTCTGGTCCAACTCTCACTCCCTCCACTTTTGGACAACCTCTTCACCCTGGCTGATGCCTGCCTGGGGCCTGGCTACTTACATCTCTGAGGCGAGGTCTCTGCTCAGCACCTCCTGCCACCCCTCATCTGCAGGCCCCTTGCAATGCTTGCTGCCTGGCGCTTGGCCGATCCTCTAACCTTTTGTACCTCAGCCTCCCTCAGTGATGGCCTCACCTCATCAAAACAGAAACATGGGCCAGAAGTCCCGGGCTCCTCCTCTGCTCCCCGTGTCCCCCTGTAATTCTTGGCCCAGTGTTCTCCTTTCATGGCAAAAGCCTTGAGACTTCCCCGCAGTTGCCTCCTCGCCTCCCGTTCTGGCCGCAGCTCAGCCCTGCGGTCCTTGGAGACAGCTGAAGTCACCATGGTGGACTCCTCTCTCCGCTTCAAGGACCACCTTCTCAGGAACATCTAGTTCTCCGGGTTTCCTTCTCAGCTCTGTTGCCAGCTTTAACCCAGATTACAGTTAAATGTTGGAGTGTCCCAGGGCTCCACTTCGCTCCCCACCCTGGGAGATTTGTCAGAAGCATGGCTTTGGGTGTTCTCTCCATGCTGCTCCCTCCAGATTTATACCTCCATCCGGGACCCTGCGCTGGGCCGAGGGTCCAGTGGTCTGGGCTGGGATTCCTCTCCCATCTCTTCACTCCACCCACTGGGAACCTTCTGCGAAGTTTGCTCCGCTTTTGTTTTGTTTTGTTTTTAATTTAAAATTTTTTTCAAAGTGTGGAATATAATGAATACAGAAAGATGCACAAAACAAAGACATTCTGCTCAATGATTTCTCACAGGCCGAACACTCACAAAACACAGCCCAGGTGAAGGACACTGTTGACGCCCTACGGTGCCTCTGGGTTTCTGTAGCGGGTCCTCCCCGCCGTCCTGAGTTCTAAGGTTCTAAGGTAAGTTTCTTGATCGTCACCACCTAAACACGCCTCTTTGAAAAACCACTTCCTTGGGGCACCTGGCTGGCTCAGTTGGTGGAGCCTGTGACTCTTGATCTGAAGGTTAGGAGTTCAAGCCCCACACTGGGTGTAGAGCGGACTTAAAAACAGCAACACAACAACAGATAAATAGATAGGTAACCACTTTCTTCATACAGTGATATAAACACCTGTAATTCAATGCATAAGGGAGAATCATCCTAACTTCTGGGTTTTAGCACAATCTTTATCTTTATCTTTTCCTCTTTTGTTTACCCCTGCCTTTCCCTTTTATCACCATCGCTCTCTGGAAAAGCTCTCTGGAAAACCATCGTTATAAGATACATATTCCCTGGGGCACCTGGGTGGCTCATTCCATTAAGTGTCCGACTCTTGGTTTGGCTCAGGTCATAATCTCAGGGTCTTGGGATCAATCCCTGGGTAGGGCTCTGCACTCAGCGGGGAGTCAGTTTGAGATTCTCTCCTTCTCCCTCTGCCTCTCTGCCCCTCTCTAAAATAAATAAACAAAATCTTTTTAAAAAAAAGATACATGTTCCTATGTTTCTCCTTGCTTACATAATCGTTATATATATATTATATCCCATATATATATCGCATCCCTAACCCCTGTGTCGTTCAAGGGATATATATATATATATATAACCCCTGTGTCATTCAATATATATAACCCCTCTGGGGCTATATGTGTGTGTGTGTGTGTGTATATATATATAGGGATATATATATAATAATATAGCCCTTGAATGACACAGGGGTTAGGGATGTGAACCCTCTGCACAGTCGAAAATCCATGTATAACTTTTGACTCCTCAAAAACATAATTGCCTGGGGGCACCTGGGTGGCTCAGTCATTAAGCGTCTGCCTTCAGCTCAGGTCATGATCCCAGGGTCCTGGGATCGAGCCCCCATCGGGCTCCCTGCTTGGCGGGAAGCCTGCTCCTCTCTCTCCCACTCCCCCTGCTTGTGTTCCCTCTCTCGCTGTGTCTCTCTCTGTCAAATAAATAAATAAAAAATCTTAAAAAAAAAAAAAAACCGTAATAGCCTGCTGTTGATTGGAAGTCTTACCAATAACATAAACAGTCGATTAACCTGTTCTGTATGTTATATGTATTATATACTGTATTCTTACAATAAAGTAAGCTAGAGAGGAAAGAAAATCATAAGGAAGAGAAAATCCATACACAGTACTGTACTGTATTTATGGGGAAATATGCAAATAAGTGGAGTTCAAACCCATGTTGTACAAGGTATCAAATGTGGTTTTTCTTTGTTGTACACATGAGATCATTTTGTACACACTTTTCTGCATCTTTCTCACTCGTCTCAACTTGTTGCAGGCACTCCAGTTCAGGTGGTGGTATTCCAATTCCTCCTTTTCGATGGTGACATAAAACCTGTCCCCCAATTTTTTGATCCTCCTCCCACAAAAGGTGGAGTCTAATTTCCCTCTCCTTGAACATACATCCCGGCCTCAGTGACTTTGCTTCTAATGACAGAATGAGGCAGAAATGACGCTGTGACTTCGGAGTCTGGGTTAGAAAGGTAATACAGCTTCCAACCTGCCTTCCTCTCTCTTGGGACAATCATCCTTGGAACCTTGCCACCATGTTGTGAGGAAGCCCAGGGCACATGGAGGCCAATGTGTGTGTTCCTGCCTCAGCTGACAGCCAGCATTAAACATGCGTCAAGTGAGGGATCTTGGGGCGCCTGGGTGGCTCAGTCATTAAGCGTCTGCCTTCGGCTCAGGTCGTGATCCCAGCGTCCTGGGATCGAGCCCCATATTGGGCTCCTTGCTCAGCGGGAAGCCTGCTTCTCCCTCTCCCCCTCCCCCTGCTTGTGTTCCCTCTCTCGCTGTGTCTCTCTCTTCAAATAAATAAATAAAATCTTAAAAAAAAAAAAAGTGAGGGATCTTCCCATGATCGCAGCCCCAGCTTTCAAGTTGCCCAGATGGATGCAGCAAAGAATCTTGATGCAACCCCTGAATCTTGCTCAAATGGCACATTTGTGAGCAAAATAAATGTTACTGTTTTAAGCCACTAAATTGAGGTAATTTTTTTACACAGCATAATAGCCAGAACAGTGTGGACGTACCAGAATGTCTCTAACCTGGGCCTTGTGGATGGGCCATCACTTTGCAATTTTTTTCCCCACTATACGTGATGTAGGAATAAATATCCCTGACCATATAGCCCACATCCAGTGCTCTTATTTCTATAGGTGAGAATCCAAAGTTTGGGACTATAGGGTGCAAAAGTATATGCATTTTTATTATGCTGGAGTTTGCCAAATTGCTTTCCAAAAAAGCTGTAACCAATCTTACCTTTGTCAATAATGTTTTGTTTTAATGTTTAATGTTTTCCTTACATCCTGGAAAGCAAGATTTGGTACAGCTCTTTTTAACATTTGCTGGTCTACTAAATATAAAGTATCAGCTCATTTCTCTTTAAAAAAAAAAATTAATAGTTTTTTAAAAGAAGAGTGGTTTTAGGTTCACAGCAGAATTGAGTGGAAAGCATAGAGTGTTCCCATATATCCCCTCCCTGCCTCAACACGCAGCCTCCCTCACCATCCCATATCAGTGTGGTATGTTTGTTATAATCAGTGAACCAATGTTGACCCATTATAAACCAAAGTCCAGAGTTTACCCAGAGTTCATTCTTTTTGTTGTACATTCTATGGGTTTTGACAAATGTATAATGACATATATCCGCCATTAGAGTATTATATAGAACAGTTTCACTACCCTAAAAAATCCTCTGTGTTCCACCTATTCATCTCTCTTCCTCAAATCCCTGGCAATCACTCACCTTTTTACTCTCTCCATAGTTTCGCCATTGTTACATTTTCACTCTGATTTGCATCCCTTGCCTTCTGATATACTTGACCATTTTTTCATGTTGTGAGGTTCTGTTGGTTGCCTCCCAATCCTTTTTCTTCTTCATCTTTGCTAATAAACCCAGATTTTGTCCAGGATGGCAAGTGTCCAGTCTCAAGTGATGTATGAATCCTGACCCCATTCCCTCTCAGACTTCTAGTATGATTTCCTATAGGAAATTTCCCACTCAGTACAATTCCTATACCTTTCATAATAAATTCTTCCCAAATATTTTATAGTCCTGTTATTGTTAATTGAATATTTTTCTCATTTTTATTGATTTCTAGGGGGCTATTTGTAGTAAATTAAAAAAAGAATTTAAGTAGGCTCCACACCCAGTGTGGAACCCAACGTGGGACTTGAACTCATGACCCTGAAATCAAGACCTGAGCTGAGATCAAGTCAGATGCTTAACTGATTGAGCCCCCAGGCACTCCTGTAGTAAATTTTTATTTTTTTTAATTAATTTATTTATTTGAGACAGAGAAAGCACAAGTGGGAGGGGCAGAGGGAGAGGGAGAGAGAATCCCAAGCAGACTCCATATGGAGCACAGAACCCGATGTGGGGCTCGATCTCATGACCCTAAGATCACAACCTGAGCTGAGATCGAGTCGGACGCTTAACCAACTGTGCCAGGCACCCCTATAGTGAATTTTTAATATATTTTCTTGTATTTATCACTTAACATTTTCTCTTATTAATTGTAGTTTTCAAGAAAGTCCTTTGGATTTTCTAGATTTCCATTCATTACATTAAAAAGATAATGCAATCTTGGTCTTTTCAGTATTTATAACATTTTATTTTCTTGTCTTATTATATTTGCTAGAACTCTAAAGCATTGTGTAATGATACTAGTGTTAATACCAATCCTGTCTAGCTCCTGATTGAAACAAAAAGTGGTTTTAATATCTGGTGTATGTTGGCCTATGATTATTTTACATTTTTTATTTTTTTCATGAACTGTGCCTTTTGTTAGATAATGACCCTCTTTATTTTTCTCAATGCCTATCACCTTAAATCCTACCTTCTCTGGTGTCATGTAGCTACTCCTGCTGTCTTCTAGTTTGTGCTGGCCTGATCTTTCTCTCTGCCAACTCCTTATTTTCAGTCTTTTTTTCCTTTTCTTGTGGTTTCATGTATCTTTGTTATAAACAGTATGTATCTTTTTTTTTATCTTTCTAACCCAGTCTCTAGGTTTTTAATGGGGGATCAGGGTATCCTTATTTAGTATGACAAAAATGTTTGCCATTCCATAATTCTTTTATGTTTATTATTTTTTACTTTGTGATTTTATCTTTTTATCCAATTGAACTATATGAAACTACCAACTACCTACTTTCCCCTTTTCTCTCTCTAAGATGTCATTCATTTCATTTTTTCCCTTGTTAATTTGGAAATTCTACATACTTTTTTCCATTCCATTAATGGCTACCTCCCCCCTCCAGGCATGAGGACTGACCCTTTACTGTGTATAGGTAGCAGATAATTTACCTATGTTATGGGGGAGAGTTTAAGGCCATTGGCCCTTCCTCCTTGGCAGGTAACTTGTTCTATCTGTGAGTCTGTACAATGTTCTCTTTCTCCTTGGAGTTTAAGAATTTACTATCATCTTTCCATTCCATACTGCCTGGGAATGAGGTCAGTACGTCCCATCTGCAGACACAGGTTTTTCTTCATGTCAGAAAAGTTTTCTTCTGTAATTCATTTGCTTCATGCCTCTATTTCATCCATCCCCATTTCTCCCTTTGGAACTCCTGGTTGCACATCAGGATTCCTGGATTTGGTCTCCAGATCTCTGGTCTTTCCTTCATGTCTTTGAGCTTTCCATTGAGCTCTGAGCTATTTCTTCCATTAGACCCAAGCACCTTCTTCATATTCCTCCAACATGTCAAACTTGCTCTGTCCTTGGGGTCTTTGCACTTGCTATGCTTTCTTTCAGGAATGGCTTCTCTTAGATCTTTCCCTGCTCAGCCATGCCTCTAGGTTCATCTTAGCTCAGATGTCCCCTTCTCAGATAAACCTTTCCTGCTGCCTTGGATGTAAACAACATACTCTGCACATCATCCTGGTTCCTTTTCTCCATTATTCACACTGCCCATAATTAAGGTTTTTTTAAAAAAGATTTTTATTTAGGGTGCCTTGGTGGCTCAGTGGTTAAGCAACTGCCTTTGGCTCAGATCCCAGAGTCCCCATCGGGCTCCCTGCTCGGCAGGGTGTCTACTTCTCCCTCTGACCCTCTCCCCTCTCATGCTCTCTCTCTTTCTCTCTCAAATAAATAAATAAAATCTTAAAAAAAATTTTTTTTTATTTATTTGAGAGAGAGAGAAAGAGAGAGCACTAGTGGGGGGGTGGGGCAGAGGGAGAGGGAGAAGCAGACTCCTTGCTGAGCAGGGAGCTCTAAGCAGGGCCCAATCCCAGGACCTTGAGATCATGACCTGAGCCGAAGGCAGACATTTAACTGTCTAAGCCACCCAGGTGCCCCTTAAGTTGTTTATTTTACTGTTATATTCATCCTTTACTTCCCCACACTCCTCACTGTGGGGCAAGGACTCTATAAATCATTCAAATTCTTGCTGTGTCCATTCTTGCTATGTACCCAGTGTCTAGCACAGGTCAGTAGTTATGGAAGAAATATAAGAGTGAATTAATGTCTTCCCCAGGGAGACCCTGCCCTCTCCAGTCTCAACCCCACACATAGGAGTATTGGAATGGGAGAGTGGGTGGGCAGAGGAAGGCAGGGCAGTACTTACCTATGAGGGTTTGAATGACTGGTGCCTCTTGGGTTCTTTTTATTCTGTGGTTACAGACAGGGAACAGGAGCAGAAGCTGGGTTGGGCTTCCTAGCAATCCTGCTGGGTGTGGGGGGCTTTGGGCCTGACCCAGGGCTAACCTTGATCCGGGATACTCTCATTCTGCCCCAATCTTCCACTGTCCCATTTTAATTTTTTTCCATAGCCCTTATCACTTAATACCATATGGAATCCTTCTTATTCAGTCAGCCAGCAGGTATTTCTGGAGTTTATTGGTATTTGAGGTGCTCAGGATCTATCCATGACTAAAATAGAGAGATTCTCACCTCACAGGGCTCTTACTCTAGTGGAGGAAGCCAGGCAATGCCATATAAGGATAATAAATGCCTCCATAAGAAAGGTAACTGCTATGAAAAAAAGTAGAGCAGGGTAAAGGGATAAAGGTGATCCCATGTGCTGGCTGAAAGGTTCAGGTTGCAGTCTGAAATGAGGGGCTTTGAGGGCATTAGGGTACAGTCCTTTGGAAATCCGTGGAAAGTGCATTGCAGGGATGGGAACAACTGGAGCCCAACCCCTGAGCCGGGAGAGTGCACAGGGTGTGATGTGTGAGAAACTTCAGGCTGCTGAGCAGTGGGGCTGGAGATAAACAGAGGACATGTAGTCAGAGAGGCAATGGGGAATCATAGGGTCCCTGCCAACTCTGGCTTTTCCTTGTGGAGGGGCTACTGCAGGAATCTGAGCAGGGCATGAAGGATTCTTTTTTTTTTTTTAAAAGATTTTATTTATTTATTTGACACAGAGAGAGAGGGAACACAAGCAGGGGGAACAGCAGAGGGAGAGGGAGAAGCAGGCTTCCCGCAGAGCAAGGAGCCCGATGCGGGGCTCGATCCCAGGACCCCGGGATCATGACCTGAGCCGAAGGCAGACGCTTAACCGACTGAGCCACCCAGGCGCCCCTGAAGGATTCTGATTTAGGTATTCACAGGCTGATGTGCGGAGAATGGACTGAAGATGGCAAGGGCTGCTACAGGAGACTGGGAGGGAGGTGGCTGTGACATTGCCCTGGGGAGAGAAGGTGGTGGCTTGGACTGGGTAGAAGCCATGCACCTGGCAAAAGGTGCTCTCATTCTGGGTAAATGATGCAATGGAAGGAACAGAACTTCTTGAATGTAAGTGGGAAAGCAGTCAAGAGGGGTTTGGACTGAGCAATAGGAAGGACTACGCAGCCATCCTTTTGAGCTGGCGGAGGTGAGGTAGAGTGCATTTGGGGGATGAGCCAGAGCGAGGGTGGCACAAGTTGAGTTTGAGATGCCAAGTGGAAGTCAGCGCAGATGCCTAGTTTACAGCTGGGCATGGAGTCTGGCACTCAGTAAGTTGTCTGGACTGGACGTACACCTCTGGGAGTGATGGACGTGTAGGTGGACTTTGAAGCCATAAACCTGGATAAGGTTAGGAGAGAGAGAATGTAGACAGAGAGAGGAGGCAAAGAGGAAGAACCAGTGAGGCGAGAAGCATGAGGGTGTAGAGGCCTGAAACACACAGGGAAGGTGCTTCCAGGAGAGGAGAGATCAGCTGGTCACAGGAAGTCTTTCCTGCCCACTCTTATAAAGGCAGCACCCCCTCCCCCCTCTTTTTAACTCTTTCTGTTCACTGCTATATTCCCAGCACAGAGTGTGGGTGCTCAATAAATACCTGTTGAATAGGTAAGCATATGCATGAATCCACACCTCTGCAAACCCCCAGTGCACATGCAGCATGGGGCTGCCATTCTGGCCTCCTTTACAGAAAGCAGAGATCAGGTAGGAGGCTCTGTCCACTCTCAGGGACACCTCCCTCTTCCCTCGAATTTCTCACTGACATCCACTCAGGTGGGAGCTCTCCTGGCCAACGCATAGGACCCAGGACAAATGAGCCTCAGACAAGCACTGCAGTGTGGAGGTTGGTAGGACCTAGATTGGACACAGGTTTATCCACCAGTCCCCAGAAGACTGTCGACACCTCTACATCTAGTCATCTATCCACCTGTGCATATAACCACTCCTTTACTCACCGTCTACAGTCACTCTCTCGTCCATCTTTCCATCCATCCCCATCTAGTCCTCTGTCCATCCATCTGCTAGGGTGACGAAATTCCCAGTTTGCTGCAGACTGCCTCAATGTTAGCCTTGAAAAGTCCACATCCCGGGAAACCCCTCGGACTCTGGAAAAATGGGACAGTTGGTTGAGCCATCCGTTCACCCAGGGATCCCTCATTGCACCCAAAAGCCCAAAGCCCATCTGTCCACCCAACCACCCACCTGACCTCCCTGGCCATCCTCCCCCTGGAAGGCAGGCAAGGCCCCGCCCCATCCCTGGCCCCGCTCCGTGCCCCGCCCCTCCCGGAAGCCGCTGCCAGGGATCCCGGCGCCCTAGCAACAGCGCTTTTCCGGCGGCCCAGTCCACGAGCCCGGCTCCCGGTGCGAGCCAATAGCGAGGAGCTCCGGGAGCGAGGCGCGGGGGGCGGGGCTCGGCGCGGCCGCCGCCATCTTGGTGGGAGAGAAACAATAGGACGGAAGCGCCGCGGGTCGGGCTGAGGCCGCAGGTAACGCCCGCCTTGTCCAGCCTATGGTTCTGCCACCCCGGTGGATTTGGAGGAGGGTGTCTCCGGGCCTTTCGGGGGTGAGGTCTCTGGTCATTAGGGTTGTCCCCGGGTTACTTGGGGAGGGGCTCCCCTGCGATCCTGGGGGCGGGGAGATCTCCCCGGGTCTTCATGGGGCCGGATATCCCCCGCTCATTTGAGAGAGGCATTATTTCTTCAGGTTGCTGGGGGCAGAATATCTCCCCTGATTTTGAGGGGCAGAATCTTCTCTGGTCATCGAGGGGGTCTCCCGGGTATCTTGGCGGTGCAGGATCTCCCTCCGGTCATTGAGAAGGTTTCTCCAGGTCTTTGTGGGGGAAAGATTTCCTGGGTCGTTGCTTCCCAAGACAGCGGAGTCCATGGGCTCCTGGGTTATTGGGGGGGGGGGTTCTCCTTGAGCCTTTGGGTGGAGGAGCCAGCCCACCGCCTCAGGTGCTGTTTACCTGGGGCCGGCAGATGTGCAGCCATTTTGAGCGTTGAATGCCAGTTGGGCCTGTCAGCGGGTGTCTGGTGAGGCGATCTGCACATCTTATTATTCAAAAAAGTCCTAAAATGGATCAGAGGACGGCTTCTTTAATAGTGGTAAGCTTCACCGTGGGTGGAGCTTTCATTTCTTTCCTATTTGCCTCCCATCCTAATGATTTGTATTAATCGGTTTCCTATGTTCCTATGTTAAGGAAGCTGCACTAGCCGAAAAATGAGTCCAAACGTTGTGAAAACAAAATGTAGAAAACAGTAAAACCTAGTGCTCTTAGATACAGGACTAGTTACTGCTTGGAATGAAACGTTTTGGTAGTAAAATTTACGTGAAACAAGAATAAAATAAAGTCTTAGGAAATAATAGTTTTAAGAAAAACTACTGAAACTTTTGAAAAGCGTTAAGAAAAATGTTCCAGTTCACCAGTTCTGTGATTTTTTTTTTTATAAAGCGCCATGATTACAGTAATTTGATGAACTCTAGTATTTAAAATATTTGCAGTATTTGCATTTTTAGCAGGGTTACATTTTAAGTGAACTCATGCTTATTTACATCGGTTGCTGCTGTGGAGTTTGCGTAATTGCATCCTGTAACCTGGTGTTAAGTATTTAAAGAGAAGTTTCAGGGTGGTGGTGGTATTGTTTTAATTTTAGCCGCTTTCAGAATTAGAAGCCAGCAAAATGAATACTTTATCATATTTCATATAAAAAGCCAGTTAAGAGGCGCCTGGGTGGCTCAGTCTGTTAAGCATCTGCTTTCGGCTCAGGTCATGATCCTGGAGTTCCTGGAACGAGCCCTGCATCATCTCATCCATTGGGCTCCCCACTCAGTGGGGAGTCTGCTTCTCCCTCTCCCTCTGCCCCTCCCCACTTGGGTTCTCTCTTTTCTCACTCACTCTTTCTCTCAAATAAATAATCGTAAAAAAAATAAGTAAAAAATAAAAAGCCAGTTGATCTCTTAATAACTTTTTCTTTGGAGAAAAAGTCAGTTGAACTGTTAACTGTTATTCCAGCTGATTTACTTGCTTTGTAACTTTTAGAGTAGAATTCACAGGAATTGTTAGAAATCAAGTGCATGAGAACCAGCACCAGAGTTGATGTAATTGTAAAAACCACTTTAGCAGATGTAATAGAATTCTGTTGTGCTTTGGAGCTTCACAAGTGACAGAGCAGTACACTGTATATCATCCCTGTGTGTGTCCGAGCAGTGGAATGTGGAAGGAAGGAAGGAGCAACTGCTGATTGAACCTTAGCTCATCTCCCTTGCAGAGGGGTGCCAGGGCCTTCTGTAAGCACTGGAGATGTCACTGGTATCTAGGCAACAGGGTTGAGCCTGAGCCCCAGAGGCCAGCTTGCTGAGGTGAAAATTTTCCATTGTTTGGTTCATAAAGAGGATGCTCTGGGGAAGAATTTTCCCTTTAAGTGAAGTTATTTTACCTAGTGAGATAATCGTCCTAACAAATTGAACACATTTTTATACAGTGGAAGGTAAGCAGATGATTTCTCTTGTGTGATTACATTTTAAAGCATGTTTTTGTTTTTTAAATAATTATATTTTCGTCTGTTTGAATACCGAGTAATAAAAGTAATAAGTAGTATGATATTTTGCAATATATTCTGGTAGCAAGAAAAGGTCCTTTTCCCCAAAAATTGAATTTACGCTTCACCTCAGAGTTTGAAGGAAAAGACAGTCTCCTAAGCTGATGAACAGTTGGTTTGGGTCTGTCATCCATCACCAGTTGGAGTTACCAACCCCTAGTTGATCTTGTTTCACTTCACTGCCTGTCTCCCCCCATCTTAAAAACAAACAAACAAAACCCGAATTTTTTAGGTGGCATAGCCCCAGGATGTATTTTTTTCCATAAGTATTTCATTGAGCTGCCCATTGTATCTACAATACCATTAGTCTGCCTAAAAACCAATGATAATACCTTTTTTTCCCACCTAAATATCTGGTTATGGTCAAATGTCTCTGATTTTCCTATAATTTTTTTTACAGTTGATTTGTTTGTATCAGGATCCAAATAAGGTCTGCACATTGCATTTGATTGAGGTATCTCTTTTGTTTCTTAAATTTATATGGGCTCATTGTAATTGTTTTGTTGAAGCAGCTGTCATTTATCCTTTAGGATTTCCCATATGCTGGCTTTTCCTGATCACTTCCTTTGCTTGATACCTTTTGACTATGGTGGCTGGGTTTGAAGGGGTCGCTCCTGTATATCTTTTCAATAAAGACGTTGTGAAGGCTTTGCCAAGGCTCACTCATAACTGAGCCCCAAACTATGAACTCTGAGGTCTGTCAGGGACCTAAAGGGCCACACAGTGCAAGACCCTCCTCTTCCCTCTGTATTGTGTAGTCCAAAAACTAAGAGCCCTAGATTTTCCATGTGAAACTGGGAGGAGAGTCCGTGACTTCCAGGAGGGTGTAGATGTTCTGCCTCTTTGTATCTTTACAGACCTCCTTCTCTCACACTGACCTTGCACCCTCTGCTCACAGGCAGTTCACACCTATGGGGGCCCTGATGCAGCGTTCTTCTTTCTTTGCACATTACTCTTAGAGTGTCTTCTGTCTTCCCTTTATAGGTAACCCCCAAATCTGTTTGCAGGTTAGGTTCACTCAAGCTTCAATCCCATTGCTCCCAACTCTCTGCTGAATGTTTCTTGAGTGCTTGACCATCCCCTTATATTTAAGTGTCTGTAGCTCAACTCAGTGTCTTCTGAGCTGTTTCTGACTTCATGAACCAAACATCCTTGTTCTGACGTGGGAAGGCTCAATATCTGACTCATCCCTCTAATTTGGTTCCCTGTACTGGGTTCTGAAGATAGGGTCCACAGGTGCCCACACCCCAGTCTGTAGAGTTCAGTGAGGGGTGCGTTTTTCAGCAGAGGCCCAGAGATGTCTCAGATTTTCCAGGGGGTCAGTTACTCCTTGAAGGGTTAAGAACAGTGTGGGACACCTAGCCACCTACCAAATCCTGTTTCTCTACTCTCCCCCCTTCCTTCCTTAATTCCCTGTGGGGGCTGGGCACCAGGCTCTCTGGGTACCTTGAAGAAGGCAGGAGAAATTTGTGCCCTGCCAAGTGTGCCACTGAGTGTGGGAGGTCAGTCCAGGCGGGACAGGTGTCTGGAGAAGGCAGCCCTGTGTCTTGGGGGCCCCAGAGCCTAAGAGCTGTCAGGACTCTTTCCCACCTCCCGCCCCAGGGACAAAGGAGGAGAGACCCTTGAGAGAAGGAAGCCCATTCTGGGAGAGGCTGGAGAGACCAGCTTGGTCTTGAGCCTCATGGCCTCCTAGAGGTTGCGGCTCTGTTGGGGGCGCTCTTGCTATCATCTCCTTCCTCCTGCAAGCTCCCAGGCTCGGGACTGCGGAGGCAGTGTTGCCTCCTTCTCTTTCACCTTTGGTTTTGACATCTTCAAATAACCAGATTCTAAATTCAGGAGCCCACAAAGTTACCTGAACCATGGCTGTGGTATAACATGTAACAGAGTAGCTTGAGAGCTTTCTAAGCACTCACAGTTTTTCTTAAGCTTAAAATTTTTTCTTCTCTCAAACCTCCTTTTTCACATATGCTTCTAATGTGTGTAAGAATTGTATCTCTCTGTTTGCTCCTTAAGTAAGAATGTAGACAGAAGACCCCAGTAAATGCTGGGTCCTGCTGCCACTGTCCTACCCATGGCGTTGCTGTAGAGATTGCTGGGCATCTGTGAAGCCAGGTTTTCCTTTTCCTCTCTGCCTGGTTAATTTTCCCTACGGAAAATGTCACCACCCTGCTCCACAATCCTTGGTGGCTCACAGGCATTACAGGGAAGAGTGAAACAGTGGGTGCAACCTCTATGCTCTGTCTCAGCAGTTCTACTTCTAAGGAATTTTCCTTCAGAAATACTTCCACAAGAGTGCAAAGACGGCTACAAGGACACTCATTGCATTATTATTGTAATAAACTAGTGTCAGTAGGGAAGTTAAAAATACATTATGATTATGTGTGAATAATATGCTGCCTTTGAAAGGAATTTTGTATAGACAGAGATATGGCTAAGGCATATAGTTCAGTGGGGAAAAGTGGCAAAACAGAACAAATGTTGAATGATCCTACTTGTATGAGAAACCAGAGTAGTCCAATTCATAGAGACAGGAAGTTGAATGGTGGTTGCCAGTGGCTTGGGAGTAGGGAGACTGGGCAGTTATTATTTAATGGGTGCAGAGTTTCAGTTTGGGAAGATGAAAAAGTTGTGGAGATGGGTGGTGGTGATTGTTGCACAACACCGTGAATGTACTCAGTGCCACTGAACTGTATGCCCCAAAATATCTTAAAAAGGTAAATTGTATGTTGTGTATATTTCATCACAATTTTTTAAAAAGGTGAGAAAAATAAAGCTGATTTTCCTGGGCGGAGAAAAGCAAAACAACACATACAGCCTGATCCTGTTTATGTAAAGAATAGAAAAGCGTGTGGAAGAAAATCTGCAGGAGGAAGAGACCCCAAACTAATAATGGTGGTCATTTTATCATACTTGTAACCAGTTTAAAGATCTGTGTTTTTTTTAAAGGCTAGGCAGGTTGTCCCGTGGCACTCTGTTCCTCTGCCTGCCGCTGAAGCCTTCTCTCTTCACTCTCCTTCCAGGAGCGCAAGCTTAGTATGCCCTTATCCCCTCGTACTGTCGGGTCCCTCTGTGACCTCCATCTCCCAGTGGACTCTTTGGAGGAGCTGTAGGGCAGAGGACACCCAGGCAGGAGGCTAGATGTTTGACTCTTGTTTCTGCCTCAGAACACCTCTGTAAAACTGTACCATGCCTGGTTTATAGATGAAGACAGGCACCAAGAGGAGGTAAAGCACCATGTATACCCCAGGACAAGGCAGGCCAGAATTTGCTGGAGAGTTTTAAAAGAATTTTTTGATACAATTTAAAAGTGTATAAACTTAGAGAGATGTACTTGGAAGTTGACTTTCCTACAATATTTATTTTTAATTGCACATACACATTTAGTTATCTAAAACAATGTATTCCTTTAGAAGTTAGACTTCTTTACCCACATATTTCGAGAATTAGTTCTGTCCCAATTTGTCTGCGTGCATCTTTGCTCTTCTCATAGCCACATTTGGAGGTGCTTT